TTTTAAGCCTTGTTTTTAACCAGCCCCGTTGCCATGGCAACAGCACACACCTTAGCCAAAATGCGATAATAAACCCTTCTGTGGTTAACCTTGACGCTTTTAAAAAACGGGCGCCAAAGCATAAATAGCTTAAAAGTAATGGTGAATTAGGCATAGGCTCTTGAAAACTGTGTTCGGCCACCTTAATGCCAGTATAGACATAAGAGGATACGATACTCTGTGCTAGACGTCTGTTAATTAACGGGGTTTGCCATATTTGTTTTCTACAGAGACCCAAATCAAGAACCACAGGCGGTCACTTTAACTCTTGATGGACAAGGTGGGACTCTCTTTGCTCCCATTCAAGTTCAGCTTCCTCAACCAGGTGACAGCAGTGCACCTGAGATTTATTTGATGACTGAAAGTAAGCCAACAACGCGTCGACGGTCCATTCCTCCTGAATTTTCCTCTGAACTTGAAGACAAAACAATAGAGGAAGGAGATTCAGTGGAAATGCAGATCTTTGTTACCGGTACACCTCCACCTGAAGTAGTTTGGTACAAAGATGAACAACCAATTACAATTTATCCACACAGACGTTTCCATGCAACAAGAGAGAATGAAATTTGTAGCTTAGAGATCAAGGATGCACGCTGTAGTGATCAAGGAAAATACACATGCAGAGCTAAAAACACTGCTGGAGAGGTCAAAAAGTCCTGCGATCTAACTGTGAAACAAGTTACTCCAACAAGCCCTCCCGCTTTTGTCAAAAATTTGAAGGATGTATACATCGTCGAAGGATCTTGCACTCGCTTTGATGTGAAAGTCACAGGTATGCCCGAACCCAATGTAAGCTGGTACAAAGATGGACGGCCAGTTAAAGAAGACAAGCATCTGGAACTCGTCCACGATGAAGACACTTCTGCTTTAATTCTCATGTACGGCAAACTGGAAGATGCAGGTGATTATATATGCAAGGCTTCCAATGAGGCTGGAGACGCCCAGTCATCAGCACATCTTCACATATCACCCCTTCAAATACCAGCCAAATTTGCATCGCAGTTAGAAACTGTCGAAGTGTCCGAGGGGGAGCCATTGAAGCTAAAGTGTACAGTGGTTGGAAAACCAGATCCCAACATAACTTGGTTCAAGGATCAACAGCAAGTCCAGGAAAGTGACAGGATCAAATTGAAGGTGACATCTGATAACACTTGTATCTTAAACATACCCAAGTCAGACATGGATGATGAAGGAACATACACATGCTCGGCGACTAATTCTGCTGGAAAAGATACTACTTCAGCCAAAGTGACAGTCAATGGCGAGGGTAAAGTTCCAGAGTTTACCAAAGTCCTAGAGAATACTGAAATACCAGATGGAAGTCCTGTTCGGTTAGAAGTTAGAGTTCAAGGAAAGCCAACACCTTTTGTAGAGTGGCTCAAGGGTACCAAGCTGTTAAAATCAGGGCCACGGTTTGAAACACAAACAACTGGAAATACACACACCTTTGTTATAACACACTGTAGAGATGATGATGGTGGTATATATACTTGTAAGGCGAGGAACAAGTTTGGGACAGCTTCTTGTGAAGCAACACTGGTTGTTGCAGAGGACACTGTACCACCAAGGTTTACAAAGAAACTTTATGACTCCACAGCAGATGCTGGCAACACTGTTGAGTTTTCTGTCAAGTACATTGGCAGCCCAGAACCAAAGGTGAAATGGTTTTTGGATGACGAGGAAGTTTCTGAAGATGATGAAGGTATGGACATTGAGACCGAGCCTGGTTCATCCTTGCTTGTGCTAGAAGACATAGCACCAAATGACTCCGGCCAGTACAAATGCATCATAACTAATATAGCAGGCAAAGCTGTTACAAGTGCGCAGCTCAAAGTTGTTGATGAAGGTGTGAAGGCAGTGCCCACCACGACAGAGCAAGTTCTTGAGGCTGTGCCTCCAGCAATAGAAAAAGAGCCAAGTGGTAAAGCGCCGGTATTTCTCAAAGAATTGACCAATGTTCATGTTGTTGAAGGAGATGCAGTTCGGTTGGAAGTTGTAGTTGAAGGGATGCCTAGGCCAGCTGTGCAGTGGTTTGTTGAAAATGACTTTGTGGAAGAAGATGAGCATACCCATATCATTCAAGAGGGAAACATGCACGCCTTGGTTATTGATGGTACAGTGTTAGATGATGAAGCAGAGTACAAGTGTGTGGCCAAGAACTCATTTGGAGAGGTAGAATGTATTGGTGAACTTCTAGTTGATGAAATTACGACCAAACCGGAGTTTTTAAAAGAACTGAAGCCAGTGGAAGTTGAAGAGGGTAGTGATGTAGAGTTCGAAGTGCAAGTGCAAGGAAATCCAGAACCAGATGTTTCATGGTTTAGAAACAATGTACTCATTGAACCTGGTGACAGATATGAAGAAAAGAAAGTTGAAGACGCACACAGATTGATCATCCATGAAACAACACCAAAGGATTCTGGTGAAGTCAAATGCCAGGCTAAAAATGATGTTGGTAGAGTTCACAGTGTTGCACAACTTGTTGTCAAACCAGCAAAGAAACAAGAGGAAGTAGCAGATGAAGGGAAAACAAGTGATGACATTGAAGAAATCTCTGTATCTCATACTGTTGATGTACAACGTGAGGTACCCCTTGAAGCTGTGCTTGGTGTTCCAAAGGAGGAAAAGTCACTTGTTCCACCAGAAATTGCAAAAGGCTTAGAAGATCTTACCGTAACAGAGGGTGACACGGCACGTTTCGAGGTGGAAATTTCTGGCAACCCTACACCTGATGTCGAGTGGTTTAACAGTGATGCAAAGATTGAAGGAAACGAAGAGACTCTGTTGGAGTCCGAAGGCAACATTCATAGGCTTGTTTTGATGGATGTTCTGCCAGAGGATGAAGGAGACTACATGGTTACTGCCACAAATGAAGTAGGTAAAGTGTCATGCACAGGAAAGCTGTCTGTTCAAGAGAAGATTAAAAAGCCCTCGTTCTTGGAGGTTCTCAGAGACATCGAAGTGACTGAAAATACGGATGTGCGATTGGAGGTTCGAGTTCAAGGCACAGAACCTGATATTGACTGGTACAAGAATGGTGTTGTGATTGAGGAAGCAACATCTAGAACTGAGTTTGTTGAGAATGAAGAGAGAGGAAGTTATGCTTATCTTATTTATGGTGCCACAACAGACGATCAGGCTACCTATCGATGCACAGCAGTAAACGAGGCAGGCGAAGTATCATGTGAAGGACAATTGACAGTACGAGAAAATGTCATTCCACCGAGGTTCCTTCAGCGTCTTGAAGATAAAAAGGTTGTCGAAGGGTCTGATGTAGACTTCGAGGTCGAGGTCAGTGGAAGACCCAAACCAACCCTGAAGTGGATTAAAGATGACAGAGACGTTGCCCCTGATGATCATATTCAAATAGACACTGAAGGCCGCATTCATACATTGTCAGTAACTCCGTCTAGATTAGGAGATGGTGGGAAATACAGCTGTGTTGCTTCTAACAGTGGTGGTAGGGATTCTTGTTCTGCTAATCTTGAAGTTGAGAAGGAAATGCATGCACCAGAATTTGTTGTCCAGCCTCAAGGAGTACAGATTGTGGAGGGAGGCCAAGCTAGATTTGAAGCAGTCGTTTCTGGCCTCCCAGAACCAGAAATTGAGTGGTTTAAAGATGGAAAGCTTGTGCGGGAAAGCTATCGTTTTAAATTGGAATTTGATGGAAACAGGTCTGTTCTCACAGTGAAGGATGCAAAACAAACGGATGATGGAGGATTCACTTGCACAGCAACTAACAAGGTTGGAAAGGTTTCTTGCACCATAGAACTAGTTGTTGATGAGGCAGTTGTTGCTCCCGAATTCCTGAAGAGAATGAACAGTATCGAGTTATATGAAGGAGATTTGGTACGATTTGATGTCCGTGTGTCTGGTACACCTCAGCCAGATGTGAAGTGGCTTAAGAATGACACAGCTTTGGAAGGAGAACTACGCTATGAATTCCTCTCAGATGATGATATGCATTCCCTGGAGTTGACCAATTGCCTTCTGTCTGATGCTGGGACATACCGTTGCATTGCTGCAAACGAAGCTGGTCAGACATCTTGCAGCGCTGAACTTACTGTCATGGAAAAACCCACGCCTCCTGTATTCACAGACGAGCCTTCATTTCCAAATATGATCGAAGATGGTGGTGATATTTTGTTGGAGGCCACTGTAAGTGGCAAGCCTACACCAACTGTAGAATGGGTCAAGGATGATGCAGCTGTGAAGAACAGTAGCCATTTTAACATCAAAGCAGAGGATGACAAACACACATTGACCATTGTTGGCGCTGGCCCTGCTGATTCTGGTGCTTACAAATGTATAGCAAATAACCCAGGAGGAACATCTACAAGGACATTTAACGTCAACATCGAGGGTGAGAATTTTGATTTATTTCTTGGTAAAATATTTTTGACTGAAATCTGTTGTAGGAAAATAACAGTCTTATCAAGGTTCTAACACCGTTAATGCTTTATACTGGTCCTCCTATGTATGCGGTTAGTGGAATAACGTATTCTATTCGGTCATTCGTGTTTAAAAGCTTGCTTACAGTCACTGTACAATCACTGTTTATAAATGTCCTGTCAGAACCCTGTTGAGTAATGATTAGTGTGTGTGTGTGTGTGCGATAATAGAAATATTTGCGTCAAGGCTTACAGAATGAAACTTCAATTGTGTTTGCTGTTGTTAAACTATACTTGGCCGTAACGGACCGTAGAGTTCTTAAAGTAGCGACCCTCTGTTATGATCACTGTAAATTTTTTTCATCAATCCTTTTTTCTGATTCCTTTCACCAATGACACTTTATAACATTTGTATTTTATTGCAATCAACTGACTCTCATAGGGTAGCCGTTTAAGCTTCCTAAAAGTAGTGACCCCGCGATAGTTGTAACGCTACGAAAACGTCGATGGAAAAGGATGCAAAATCCGAAATTAGCGAGGGTGGTTAGTTTCGGAACTTTACGGTGTTTGCAATAAAATTTAGTTTTGCTAAACTAGGGTTTTTATTTTTATCGTACGTCATTCACGCGCGTATTGTTTTAGTGAAGTTACTCAAGTGAGACAGACATAAAATAATCACATTATCTTGATGATACGGTAACTGGCGAGTATGTGTTATTATTGAGTGAACCATCACGTGTGTCAACTAATGCTCAGTGCTCAGTTTATTGTACATCGTACATTCTACTAACTGCTCTAATGCAATCTCTCACTCAAGCTACCCAATCCTGAACTCATCTATTGTGGGTGAAACTTGCTTATCTACTATTATGCTGGTGTTGGTGGTGATTTTACTAACTTAGAGAACGTCGTGTACCTCAACTTCTGCTTTGTTCATTGCGCATTGTAGTGATTACTCTGAGGTAGTCTCTTAAATAAGTTAACCAGACGTAAACTTATTTATTGCGGTTAAAACTCTCTACACTGTAACTGGTGCTGATGGCTGTTTTATCCTAACTAATGCTTGTTATCCAGTTCATTGTACATCCTGTACTGCACTTGCTGCCCTGATGCAATGACTGAAGTACATGTAGGCTACTCCGACTTAAATCGTCTTTTATGGAGTACATGTGCTGATAATCTAACTGGTGTTGGTAACAATTAAGGGCATCTTTGGGTATCTTAACAACTACTATTCAGTTCATCGTTGCTTCATTCTTGCTACCCTGTTGCAGTATCTGGAGTGAGCTATCCGGACTTGACATCATCTATTGTGGATTTAACTTGCTTAACTTGTAACTGATGTTGGTGGCCATTCCTAAGGGTACTCATGTGTTTCAACTAACGCTTTTCGCTCAGCTTGTCATACTTCATACATGCTGCACTCATGCTGTTTGGGGACTGAGCTACTCAGACATACACCCATCGTATATGGAAATATGAAGGAACCTTGCATTTATTTTTGTATAGCTACAAAGCCGCAAGGAAGTGCACCGCGGTTTTCAAAGATCCTGGAGTCACCAAAAGCTGTCGAGAATTCTCCTGTCACTCTGGAATGTGAAGTTATTGGTTCTCCTGAGATATCAATTGAGTGGCACAAAGATGATTCTCGATTGAGGCAGACAACGCGTGTTCGCACGGAATTTGATGGTAAAATCTGCCGTTTAATCTTTTTGCGTACGGAGCTTGATGACGAGGCAGATTACAAGTGCATTGCTAGAAATGACTTTGGCATGGCATCAACTGAATGTGAACTGTTAGTAGAAGAAGAACACACTCCACCCTATTTTAAAAAGAAACCTGACAATCAAACAACATCGGCAGGTCAAGAGGTCACGTTCAATGCTGTTGTAGGTGGTAGTCCACCTCCAGAGGTTGACTGGTTCAGGGATGGACTGGCAATAGAAGACCAAGGAAGATTTGTTATCAAAGAAGATGTTGACCATGGAAAATTCTCCTTCACCATTAAGGAGACCATTATGGAAGATGGTGGCTCATATAGATGTGTTGCTTTCAATGAAGCTGGAGAAGAGTCCTGTAAAGTATGCTTAGCTGTTGCCCCACTTGGCAACGAACGTGGACCCATCGTTGAAGTACCATTTGAAGTGCAGTTCAAAGCTGATTCAGCTGAACCAGTGACGTTCGCCATTGAGCCAAAGTTTGAAATTACATCGGAACAACCAGAGACTACGAAACCTGGCAAAAAGAAACTCTTGGCTTCCAGAGAGAGTATAACAGAGGGTCACGAAGCTCCTCGCTTCATTGCCTTACCAGAAGGGTCAAGTCCCTTTGAAGTTAACACTGATGGGGACGTTAAACTTGAAGTGAGGGTAAGTGGTAAACCTCTTCCTCAGGTGAAGTGGCTAAAGGATGACCAACCCTTGCCGGAGAGCAAAAATCTCGTTGTACGTAGCGACAAAGATATACACACCTTGACGATCCTGGGGCCCACTCCAAGAGATAAAGGAACTTACGTTTGTGTTGCATCAAATGATGCTGGAACTTCCACTAGAAGCTTTGATGTGAACATAGAAGGTTATGAAGATTGGGTCATGCCTTCTTTTGAAGACCATTTAGACAGTCCTTTTCAGATTTCAGATGACGGTGATGTGACCATGGAAGTTAAAGTTACAGGGAATCCTCCTCCAGATGTTGAGTGGGCAAAAGATGATCAACCGATAGCAGAGAGTGATCATATCCAATTGTCTTCTTCAGATGACATTCATAGGCTTGTTATAAAAGGAGCCTCACCTGAGGATGAAGGGAAGTACATTTGCACAGCAACCAACCCAGCTGGTAAATCTATCAGGACATACACCCTTAACATAGGAGGTGCCAAGGCTAAACCAGCTGGAAGCCGTCAGACAGAAGAAGGATTGTCGCCTCCCAGAGTTGTGGAAAGGACAGAGGAAGAGCCATCATTTGAAGTTTCCGATGCTGGGGATGTCAAACTGGAGGTTCAGTTCAGTGGAGAGCCAGAAATAGAGTGGACAAAGGATGGAAAACCTATACAGGAGAGCAACCACTTTCAAATACGGTCCAGAGCGGGTGTGCAAACACTGGTCATAAACGGTGCCACTCCAGATGACAAAGGGCTTTACAAATGCACAGCTTCAAACAAAGCAGGCAAGTCATGGAAAACATTCACAGTTGAATTTGAAGGGAAGGTAGACAATCATCCAGAGGATATACCGTCTGAGTTGGAAAGGCCTTCTTTTGTTGAAGATGAAACTGTTGTTCCTTTTGAAGTAACTGACCGAGGAGATGTGAAACTTGAAGCCAAGGTACAGGGTATCCCCAAACCAGAAATTGAGTGGGATAAAGACGAAGTCCCTCTTAAAGAAAGCGAACATATTTCCATCACCTCAAAAGATGACCTGCACACCTTATTGATTAAGAATCCAAATGTGGACGACAAAGGAACGTATACGCTAACTGCCACAAATGAAGCTGGAGTTGGTACTCGTGCTTTCAATGTTGAGATTGAAGGTAGCTCAAAATCTTGTCATCTTCCTGTGTTTTAAACGCTTCCATTTCATGCTCTTCTTCGTCTTCTTTAGATTGGTTATTTCCTATTTCGTTGTTTGATAATAAGCCTTAAAGACATCTTTGGTATTTTGTGCCTGTCAATACAGTTGAACCTCGCTATCATGAACTCAATTATTTCACACTCGCCACATCCTAAGCCCATGTATCATCTTTTTCAGCCATTTTCTACCGGGAGTTTGGCATAGCGGGCTTCGAATGTAGCACAGTACAGGCAACATGCCACTTTATCACAACAACTATACTAACAATACTAATGCAATGTAGTTTGTTTCTATTTGGTAAAAGCTTTATGAATCGTTATGTTCAACCTACAATGTCACAGGTGCAAAACCAGTCAGCTCAGTGCCAGAGATCACCAAACCATTGACTGAAGTAGAAGTTCTTAAAGGACAACCTGTTGTGTTGGAGTGCCATGTCTCTGGAGCAGCTGATGCTCAAGTAAGATGGTACCATGACAACGATCTTATTACTGAAGATGAACGAATATCAAGCTCATTTGATGGCACAGTTTGTATCCTGACCATCCAAGATTCAACGCTTGAAGACGAAGGGGACTATTTGTGTCAAATAGAGAACGACCAAGGAGTTGTGTCAACGTCTGCTGAGGTTCTTATTGAAGAAGGAATGGCATTACCAATATTTAAAGAGAAACTGCAAAACTTGAATGTGATTGAAGGTGAGAATGCGTGCTTTGACATACGTGTTGTTGGAAATCCAGAACCAGTCGTGGAATGGTTTAAAGATGGTGTACAACTAGAAGACGAAGGTCGTGTCATGATAATTGATGATGTGGATGACAGTGAACCAGACCTGTTCTCTCTTGTTATTGAAAACTGCAAACCATCTGATGCGGGTCAGTACACTTGTCTAGCCATGAACGAGGCTGGAAAGGACAGTTGTACCGCTGACTTGTCTTTCACTCCTAAATCTGAGTCTCTAAAGACCCCAGACGTGGCAGAAATTCCTTTGGAGTTTCTAGAAGGCCAAGATGTAACACTGAAGGCTTTGATGAGTGCTGACCATCCCAAAGTCAGCTGGCTTAAGGATGATGAACCCATCACACAGAGCAATCACTACAATATCGGTGCTAAAGAAGGCGTCCACACCTTGACGATTAAAGATGCCTCACCTGACGACTCGGGGATTTACACGTGTGAGACCACTGATGACAGCACGAGCACTTTCAATGTCACCATTAAGGGTAACACTTGCACGTTTCTCCACATTTACTTTGTACTGTGTATACTTTGTATTTTACTTTTATCACAGAAACAATGACTGATAACTAGAATTTGTCCAAAAATTTGTTACAATAATGTTTCCCCAGCTCCACAAATTATGTGTGGCAGACTGTGCCACAAAAAAACAAAACAAAACAAAACAACAATAGTAATCTCAAGCAAGCAAAACAAGATAACTTTTTGTCTGTTGCAATAGCCAATGAAATATAAGTATTATTTTTATTGTCCACATTCTCATTTTACATCGTTCGTGGCATTGTCATTCGGAAGGACTCCGTCTCGGTCCATAAACACAATATCCAGCCATTTTGACCTCACACTTGGTCAATAACCCATACATCTTTACTAGTCATTTGGGCGCTGGAATTTTTATCGCCCACGTTCAAGGTTGATTGTTCCTGCCTTTTCATTTGTAAGGATGGTTTAAAAAGATAACGTAGTTGACGGCTAACTGATTCAGCTTGAAAAATATAACTCCTCTCCTTCAGTCGTGGAGCTTATGCTGTGACGACGGTATTTTAGTCCTTCTTTGGTTGTGTAAAATACTCTAAGTAAGCTACTAACCTGTTTATTTGTCCCACTTTTGCTTTAATACCTTACATTGATTTAATTTTAAGGCAAAGATTCTGTGGATGGCATTAGACCAGAAATCACTGACGCCGTCACTCCCGTGGAAGTATTTGAAGGTACTGCGGCCAAACTTTCTTGCAAGGTCACTGGAACACCAAGTCCAGTAATAACGTGGCTTATAGAGGGTGAGCCTGTGGAAACAGATAAGCGTGTAACTAGTGACTTTGATGGAGAGGTCTCTTCACTGTGCTTTAGCAGCACAGAGTTGGATGATGAAGGAGAATATCAGTGTAAGGCTCACAATGAGTTTGGATCAGCAACATGTACGTTGGAACTCTTTGTCAATGAAATAGTTGATGAAGAAGATCAAACAAAACCAGAATTTCTGGAGAAGATGAAAGATCTGAGCACATCTGAAGGCGATTCTGCTGTCTTCAGTGTCAAAGTCCAAGGCCACCCACAGCCAGACGTTCAATGGTTTACATCTGATCGGGAGATCACAACTGATGAGCGATTTTCGGTAGATTCCATGTCTGATGGCCGGCACACATTTACCATCAAAGACTGTGACGCAAAAGACAAAGGAAGGTATAAATGTGTTGCATCCAATGTGGTTGGAAAGGCGGTTTGTTCTGCAGGATTGACAGTGAAGGAAAAATTGATCGCACCCAAGTTCGCAGACCAACCTAGTGAGACGCCAATGGTGATTGACGAAGGAGGTGATGTAACACTGCAAGTGGAAGTAGGTGGAAAACCAAACCCGTCTGTTAAGTGGTACAAAGATGACAAACCTATCAGTCGAACAAGCAGCAAGTACAAGACTGATGTGCAAGGAGACAAACAGACACTGACTATTGTCGCCGCAACACCTGATGACTCTGGAACATACCAGTGCAAAGCTACCAGCCCCGCTGGCACAGCGACAAGAGACTTCAATGTTAATATTGAAGGTGAGTAATCTAACTGCCTAACCCTCTGATTCTCAAGAGTAATTAGCAATTAACAGTGACAGTGTATGTAAAATTGTAAAATACACTTTTAAATTAAATAAAGCAATTCCATAACTTGTGGATATTGTCTTGAAGTACCACCAAATCCGCGGAGCAATCATTTGCCAAACGGCCACCAAAAAGAGTTCCGAATTAACATTCGAACATTCGGACGGACATTTCACCTCTTTGGATGTGACATTTTTCATACTCACCAGACGCATTTGGCTCTTGAGTTCTTATGTTACGTCTCGTTAATTTTACAGCAAAAGAACCCGAAGGCGAGTCTCCTAAGTTCCTTCAACCTTTGAAATCCCAGGAAGTCTTTGAGGGTAGTGCGGCAAAGCTCGAGGTTCGGCTAAGTGGTGAACCAGAGCCTGACATTGAGTGGTTCAAAGATGAGGAGCCGATAGAAGAAGGAAGAAATTTTAGGATCGAGTTTGACGACACTGATGGCTGTGTCCTGGTCATCAATTCTGCTAAGCTTGAGGATGAGGGTATGTACAGATGTGTGGCCTCAAACTCGTTCGGAAAAGCCATCTCTGAAGCAGAGTTGTTGGTGACAGGTAAGGAGTTGTTGCTTGCAGCATTATGAATGGCGGAGATAGAACATACTTGTGGAATGTCTTATGGCTGACTTTGTGCGTGGAAATTGTTTCTGAATTTTGTTCGGGGGAAAACATTAGATTTTTCGTGTATATTTTCTAACTTTTCGGTCATAAATCATGGAAAACTAACACGGTTTCAGGAAGATATTGAGTGTATATTCATAACTATCGACCTAACCTTTTGAAACTAATCCGGTAAGTGATGAGCATATAAGGGCTCAGTGCGAGTCACTGGTGCTCTAATGGAACAGTAGGGAAATGGATGGACATATGAAGTCCAGCTCTAAGATCAATATTCGCGAGAGTAGTATCACCCATATGTAGTGCTAGATGTAGGCCGTCATTTGAAGACAGTGGCATAACAAGTTTGTTTAGAACATTCTGACTTGATGCAATGGGAACGTAAGGAACGGCTGTGTGTAGCTTACGAGGCTTCATTCTTTTTTCTGTAGGAGAAGATGATGAACAACAAGATGAAGAGAAACCAGAGGGACCAGTCGTGGTGCAAACAAGTATTCCTGTAAGCTCATCTCCCTTTGGAGAGGTGCAGCTTCAACTGCCAGTGAAAGAGGAAGAACTTCCTCCTTCCAAGGAAACACGTCAAATGTCAAGTAAAGAACTCCCAGGGAGCAAACAACCATTTGGCGAAGTTCAGGTACAAATATTCCTTCGCTTTTGGACTTTTGACAGACTATCCCATGTAAGCGGAATGTGTTAATAATATATGTTCATTCTTGCAGCTTGTTTTACCTGGACAAGGGGATGTGCCTATGATACCCGATACCATGTCTGCTCTGCAGTACGAGCCAGTACAGATGACACTTCCCGTTGCAGATGAGCCCACCGTTCTGCCCGATTTTGTAGACGTTCCTCACGACCTGAAGGTGGATGAAGGTGACGAGGCTGTCCTCAAGGTCAGGGTGATTGGGCAGCCTACACCTGATATTTCCTGGTTTGTGGACGATAAGCCAGTTGAGCCAAGTGATCGGATTTCTGTGACATCAGAGGGAGACCAGCACGAGCTTGTGATCCATAAGGCCAAGTTAGACGACGAAGGAATGTATAAATGCGTGGCTAAAAGTGAGGCGGGCAAAGCTATATGTGAAGTAGAGCTGTTGGTGGAAGGTAAACATTGGCTTCCAAAAATGAAACAGTTAGTTTATTGTAGCTTACACTGTCCAATAATTATACCGATAGAACAAATTAAATTGCATAGTTACAATTCATAACTTGCATCATCTATGCTTTACAAGTGATTTTCATTATTTTGGCCTTTCTGACTTAATAATCATTCAAAGAAAAAGGTGACATGTCTCTTCCAAGATGGCTGTCACATTACCGTAATCCAACTCTTAAACATGTGTTCCTCTAAGGTTGAATGTACAAATAGTTGACTTGCTTTTAAGATAAATGTTCGGATATTTATCGTTTAGTTGGACACCTTTTTACCTGCATTACATTACCTTTTATGACAGAAGTTAAAAAGCCACTTGAAAAAGAGCCCCGCGGACTTCAAATTACAANTAATACTTTGTAAATTTATTGCCAAAATGTTAAAGGTAGCAACTCTCTAAAAATAGCCAAGGCTGCTAAACCCCCCCCCCCCCCCCCCCCAAAAAAAAAGATCGTATCAAAACATAATCAAAATCGCTATCACTATCAAAGAAATGATCAAATGCAAATTATATTTCAATGTAGAACACTCTCTTCCTTTAGGGAATCTCACTCGGTTTTCAAGCCAGTTTTCTAAGCTTCATCAGTGGTATGCTTATGCAATAAAATCGCCTTTCTTTACTCAGACTTAAAAAGCCAGTATTGGTTCAGAAGTTTGTTGACCAAGATCTTATCGAGGGAGAAAAGCTTGAACTGCAAATCAAAGTCCTTGCATCCAAACCTCGCACTGTGACATGGTACAGAGATGACGAAGTAATCGAGGCAGATGAACGCTGCAAATTACTGTCAGATGATGACATCTTTTTACTCAGGGTGGATCCAGTAGAAATCGACGATGAAGCTATTTACAAATGTGTTGTGAAGAACCAAGTTGGGCAAGACCAGTGTGAAGCTCAGATTTTAGTTGAAGGTATTGTAGCAACGTGTCACACTTTTTATAGTAACTGTGCTCCTTTTTCGGGAGCTATTGTCGAGCAGATTATAGACTCAACCTGTAACGCAATGCACAGGGAAAACCTGAGAAGCTTGGCTACTAATAAGTCTAATAAAGCTGAAAGATATGACCTGTTGGATATGACAGTTTCTGTCATCATTGTGTTCTCCTTTCCTTATGAAGAATAAGGCCTCAGATAATTAGCAAATTTGGTAGGTCTTCATAAATTCTTGACAGAAAATTATTGTCCCTCTTAAATTACCATCCCCTGCAAGTAGTTATTACCCTTGGAATTTGGCGTTTATGTTTTTTGGTGTATGTTCGACTCGTCTGAGTTAGTCGGCTTGATATAAATTCTAAAATTGCATGGTTTGAGTTCTAAAGGAATACCGTGTTCTTTTACAGAAAAGAGCGAAGCTGTAGAAGATGGTGCAGGTATCAGTGGTATGTATGCACTATTCATGTGTACTTTGAACAGCGTCGCTGTTTTCTGACTGATTGAAGTGTGTGAGATTTAGGCAGCAGAGCACTTTTTCCGGGGTTGCATAGCCGTATTTAAACACAGTTGCGTACTATCTTAGTTATTTTATGATTTGACATACTCTAATCTTTGTCATAAATAGACCAAAGACCTTACTTCATAACACCCTTGCCAGAAGAAGTGGAGGTTCTTGAAGGCGACTCCACCAGGCTCGAATGCCGCGTGGGACCTGGAGCAGACGTGTCCTGGTACATAGACGATCAACCATTGAAAGAAGATGATCGAATCACGATTGAAAACGAGGGCGACGTCTTTGCGGTTGTGATCTCTCCCACAGAATTGGACGACGAAGCGGAGTACAAGTGCGTTGCACAGAATGAGTTTGGTAAAGTAGCTTGCCAATCTGAACTGATTGTGGAGGAAGGTGTGACCATGCCACTGATTAAGGAACCTCTGAAGAACATGGAGGCAAACGAGGGTGACGTGGTTCGATTTGATGTCCGCATTGCAGGAGACCCTGAACCGGTGGTGGAATGGTTCAAGGATGGACACCAGCTTGAAGATAAAGGTCGTGTTGTCATAATCGATGACGTTGATGACAATGACAAGGAGTTGTTTTCTTTGGTGATTGAAGATTGCCGAGTGGTGGATTCTGGTAGCTACAAGGTTGTGGCTATGAGTGAAGCAGGAACTGCCAATTGTACGTGTGAGCTGGCTGTCACTCGTAGTACCGTCCCACCTGAGTTTAAGGAAGAAATGGAAGAAGTAAGGAAAAAAAATGTTTCATGTGGACATGAATGGAATCCCAAGTTAATCTAGAACGAGTTTGCAATAAACCATATTCGTATTCCTGGTATTGGACTGAAACTATCTTGAAATTGAGGCCAATGCGGGGAATCTTTTAAAATGCAAATGACTTTAATCTGTTTTTAATGATATTCCCCCGCACGAGCCTCCTTTCCAAGCTAGTTCCAGTCCAATACCGAGAATACGAATATGGTCAGGTTCTATAGAAACAGCTCCGAAAGCCGGACAATGTCTTGGAAAGCAGATGCAATATGCATGAGAGACAGAGTTTCATTACGTTTCAAACGCTCAGAAGAGGATCGGAAATATGACGCGTTTTGAGTGTTTGATTATCTTCTCAATCGGAAATGAGACTAAGGAGTAATTAACGTCATGGTTATGATTTCTTTTGTTTAAACTTGGTGAATTTTTTATTAGTTTGACAAGTCCTTTACAAAGTACAATATCTAAATTCCTCTCTTTTCAGGTCCCCATGGAGGGCTCTCAAGGAGATAATGTGTGCATGGTTATGAACAGTGGCCGCTTACCCTCGCCATCTGTTGCATGGTTCAAAGACGAGGAACCCATTGTGTCAGACTCTCATCTAGAGATCTCACAGGATCCTGATCACTGCAAACTAATGGTTTACCACGTGACTCCAGCTGACTCTGGTACATACAAATGTGTTGCATCTAGCGTGATGGGAACTATCACTAAGAAATTCCTTCTAAACATTGAAGGTAAGTTGGTTTCTAGCAGATGTTTTTAGTTCATTTGGTGAGAGCACTTGATTTTCAGTTTCTTCTCAGTACTCCTAAATTATGGGCTTTACTGTAAAGGGAAACATTGTTCAATGTGTCGGTATATCACTGCAGTATCGTCTATAAGTAAGGTATTTTATGTAAATGAAAGACACTCGTATGTACATGTAATTCATTTACATACTCTCTGGTCTTCATGCACACTTGCTATTGAGAGTCGGTGTGACCCTCTACGACCATCATCTTTCTTTCCATTATAGCTACAGTTTTCTTTAGTCTCATATGTTATGCTATTTCGGCGCATTAAATATGACAAACGTGAAACAATCAAACCGTTCTTTTCAAAGTTTCTCAGTAATAACACTTCATACTAAGATACACAGCTAGTCTGTAGCTTTGGATCTGCAAAATGTCGTATTCTTGTCTGCCTCAGACCCATTTATTGACGTTCTTGTTGTTCATTTATTGATGCACTGTATGAGTGAGGGATTCTTTTCTGTGTCACGTAGGACCAGACGGAATACAAGAACAGCCAGTAAGCGCTTCCGAGGTGCAGGACGTAGAGTTACCATTGCCAATCGAGGAAAGACCTGTCCGAGATACAACCGCTCCAGTCTTCACAAAGAAATTGGAAGATCTTGTAGTTGACGCTGGAGAAGAAGCCCGTTTTGACGCTAGAATCTTTGCCATTCCAGAACCTCACGTTGAGTGGTACCAAGGGTCAAGGAAGATATTAGATGAAGGGCGGTTCGTACACGTAGATGCCATCGAGGAAGACCTGTTCACACTGATTATTGAGCAAACTGAAGCTGGAGATGCTGGTCCGTACAAGTGTGTTGCATCAAATGAAGTTGGCCAGACACCCTGTGAAGCACAGTTGACAGTGAAAGGAAAACAAGCAGCTCCAGAAGACGCAGAAGAATCGGAGACTTCAGTCCTTGATATAACCGAGGGAGGCGAAGTGGACTTAAATGTGGCGGTCTCGGGAACTTTCAAACCTACTGTGGAGTGGCTGAAGGATGGGAAGCCGGTACGAAAGACAAGTAGGCTTGACACAAAGACTAAAGGAGACACGTACACGCTGAATATCAAACATGCGGTACCGGAAGATTCTGGCATTTATACCTTCAAAGCCACGAGCCTAGCGGGAATATCAACAAAGTCTTTCGATGTCAACGTGAAAGGTAAGCTAAGTGCTGAATAAGATAATGAACATCCTACTTAAATCTCACCACTACGATAAAAGCTGAGAAAGTTGGAATTTTTCAGGATTTGACGAAAATTGTGAAATTGAAAGAACCAGGACTATAATACATCTCCTTCATTACCTGTTGCGAGTGAAATGAATATTAGCAACGTATGTTTCTGCATTAAACGTATGTTTAATGCAGCGTGGAAAATGAGAAAGCGAGTGAGTGCTTGGATGAAAGAGAAAGTGGTTTGAGTGAGTAACTGGAGTAGAAATCCAAGTACATTTTTACGATAATACTCTAGAAGGGAAATGTCTGCATTGTGGAATCTGTTGACCTCATCATCACTGATAGGACAATTAACGTGTTTTATTCAATATTAAGTAAACAAAGACTGTTGATTGCTGATGGTAAATGCTAAGTTGAAGAACGTCAAAAGGTGTACAGTCAGTGGAGGTGAAACGCTATGAATTTTTTTTTCGTATTTTTGGTACAGGAAAGACACAAGGTGAAGCCCCCAAGTTTACACAACCACTGGAGTCTGTTGAAGTAACAGAAGGAAATGGGGCAACGTTGGAGTGCAAGGTCGCGGGGACACCAGAGCCGAACATAGCTTGGTTTAAAGATGGTAAAAGCGTGGCAGAGGTGAAGAGATACAAAACTCGATTTGACGGAGAGCGGGCCACTTTAAAGATCACGACCACAGAACTAGATGATGAGGGTCAATACAAGTGTGTCGCTGAAAACATGTTTGGTTCAGCCTCTTGTTCGTCGGAGCTTCTTGTCAATGAAGCAAACGTAAAGCCTGCGTTTGAAGAGAAAATGAAGCCTGTTGATGTCACTGAGGGAGAACCTGCACAATTTTCTGTGAAAGTGACTGGCCACCCTTCACCTGTCATTGACTGGTACAGGGGCAAGGACAAATTGGAAGATCAAGGGCGTATTGAGATGGTTGATAATGAAGACAGTGGCACTTACTCACTGACAATCAACGACACGCTTCCAGAGGATGCAGGAGCTTACAAGTGCGTAGCTGAAAACGAGGAAGGTCAAGTGTCTTGCAAGGCTGCCTTGGCTGTCAGGGAGGTCATCACCGAACCTGTATTTGACACTGAACAAGAAGCGGCCCCCGTGAAGGTGGGAGAAGGTGATGTTGTCAGTCTCAATACTGTTGTGAAAGGGAAGCCAGAGCCTGCTGTCGATTGGTACAAGGATGAGGAGAAGCTACAGGAAACAAGTCGTTTGAAGATGGACGCCAAAGATGGGGAACACTCCCTCATTATATTGGAAGCCAAGCCTGAAGATTCCGGTGTTTACAAGTGTGAAGCAAAGAGCAAGGGTGGTAAAGCAGAAAAAACGTTTGATGTCGATGTTAAAGGTGCTTTATTTCATGCTAGATGTTTTAAAAATCTTTCGTCGTCCTTGAGAGTTTTGATTGCTCTGTTTCATTTTTAATGGACAATTGAAGTTAATGCATAAAGGTTCTTAAGAGGGTGGTATCTTACAGAATGTTTGTATTGAATTTTCCAGTTGCACTGTTGTTTCAACTGTGTTAATGAAACCAAAGTCCACTTTATCACAAAGTTACCCCGAACAATGACGAAAAATAATTTGAAACGTTTAGTACCTCATAATTGCTTTCAAGGGTCTTTGTCTCAACGGGACAGACTGAACAAAATGGGTAGAATAAAGTTAAAATTGTACTTACCAATTTATTCTAGCCTATTCTTTCCCCACCTCGAGAGCAGTTTCAGATTTGACCCCAAAAATTCCGTACAGGCGTCCAGATAATGCTTTCTGGTTGGTTGTTTTTCTGTTTTTTTTTTCTTTTAAAATTTTATTTAATTTTGCGCGCGGATTTGTAGAGCTATCAATATGGAATTTTTGGGTTTGAATCTCAGACTTCAATTTATTTGGGGAAGAATTGTTTTAATCAATCTTACCTGATACTTAATACACTTTAGCCAAGAAACCTGAAGGTACTGCACCAGTGTTCATAGAATCCCTGCAACCGGTGGAAGTAGTCCAAGGATCTCCTGCTAAGCTGCAGTGTAAAGTGACAGGTGTACCAGAACCAAGCATTGAGTGGTTTAGAGACAGCGAACCTGTGAAGGAAGACAAGAGAATAAAGATTCGTTTTGATGGCGAGTTGTGTACTTTGAAGATTCTCTCAACCGAGCTGGAAGACGAAGGTGCTTACAAGTGTGTTGCGAAGAACGACCTCGGATCAGTGTCTTGCGCTTCTGAACTCCTCGTTAACGAGCCAAACAAGAAACCAGAGTTCATCGAGAAGATGAAACCCGTGAATGTCACTGAGGGGGAACCAGCACGTTTCGACGTCACAATTGAAGGCAATCCAATTCCAGTGGTAGACTGGTTCAAAGGGAAGGACAAATTGGATGACGAAGGGCGTTATGTGATGATGGACGACGAAGAAGCGGGCATTTTTACGTTGATCATCGAGGACACTGTGCCTGAAGATGCTGGTACGTACAGATGCGTTGCTGCCAACGAGGAAGGACAGGCAAGTTCCAAGGCCGCTCTAGCAGTGAAAGAAAAGATGATTGCGCCGGAGTTTACAGACGAAGAGGAAAGTGCTCCCGTCAACGTCACAGATGGGGATGAGGTATGCTTGAGTGTNTGACCTGTTGGATATGACAGTTTCTGTCATCATTGTGTTCTCCTTTCCTTATGAAGAATAAGGCCTCAGATAATTAGCAAATTTGGTAGGTCTTCATAAATTCTTGACAGAAAATTATTGTCCCTCTTAAATTACCATCCCCTGCAAGTAGTTATTACCCTTGGAATTTGGCGTTTATGTTTTTTGGTGTATGTTCGACTCGTCTGAGTTAGTCGGCTTGATATAAATTCTAAAATTGCATGGTTTGAGTTCTAAAGGAATACCGTGTTCTTTTACAGAAAAGAGCGAAGCTGTAGAAGATGGTGCAGGTATCAGTGGTATGTATGCACTATTCATGTGTACTTTGAACAGCGTCGCTGTTTTCTGACTGATTGAAGTGTGTGAGATTTAGGCAGCAGAGCACTTTTTCCGGGGTTGCATAGCCTTATTTAAACACAGTTGCGTACTATCTTGGTTATTTTATGATTTGACATACTCTAATCTTTGTCATAAATAGACCAAAGACCTTACTTCATAACACCCTTGCCAGAAGAAGTGGAGGTTCTTGAAGGCGACTCCACCAGGCTCGAATGCCGCGTGGGACCTGGAGCAGACGTGTCCTGGTACATAGACGATCAACCATTGAAAGAAGATGATCGAATCACGATTGAAAACGAGGGCGACGTCTTTGCGGTTGTGATCTCTCCCACAGAATTGGACGACGAAGCGGAGTACAAGTGCGTTGCACAGAATGAGTTTGGTAAAGTAGCTTGCCAATCTGAACTGATTGTGGAGGAAGGTGTGACCATGCCACTGATTAAGGAACCTCTGAAGAACATGGAGGCAAACGAGGGTGACGTGGTTCGATTTGATGTCCGCATTGCAGGAGACCCTGAACCGGTGGTGGAATGGTTCAAGGATGGACACCAGCTTGAAGATAAAGGTCGTGTTGTCATAATCGATGACGTTGATGACAATGACAAGGAGTTGTTTTCTTTGGTGATTGAAGATTGCCGAGTGGTGGATTCTGGTAGCTACAAGGTTGTGGCTATGAGTGAAGCAGGAACTGCCAATTGTACGTGTGAGCTGGCTGTCACTCGTAGTACCGTCCCACCTGAGTTTAAGGAAGAAATGGAAGAAGTAAGGAAAAAAAATGTTTCATGTGGACATGAATGGAATCCCAAGTTAATCTAGAACGAGTTTGCAATAAACCATATTCGTATTCCTGGTATTGGACTGAAACTATCTTGAAATTGAGGCCAATGCGGGGAATCTTTTAAAATGCAAATGACTTTAATCTGTTTTTAATGATATTCCCCCGCACGAGCCTCCTTTCCAAGCTAGTTCCAGTCCAATACCGAGAATACGAATATGGTCAGGTTCTATAGAAACAGCTCCGAAAGCCGGACAATGTCTTGGAAAGCAGATGCAATATGCATGAGAGACAGAGTTTCATTACGTTTCAAACGCTCAGAAGAGGATCGGAAATATGACGCGTTTTGAGTGTTTGATTATCTTCTCAATCGGAAATGAGACTAAGGAGTAATTAACGTCATGGTTATGATTTCTTTTGTTTAAACTTGGTGAATTTTTTATTAGTTTGACAAGTCCTTTACAAAGTACAATATCTAAATTCCTCTCTTTTCAGGTCCCCATGGAGGGCTCTCAAGGAGATAATGTGTGCATGGTTATGAACAGTGGCCGCTTACCCTCGCCATCTGTTGCATGGTTCAAAGACGAGGAACCCATTGTGTCAGACTCTCATCTAGAGATCTCACAGGATCCTGATCACTGCAAACTAATGGTTTACCACGTGACTCCAGCTGACTCTGGTACATACAAATGTGTTGCATCTAGCGTGATGGGAACTATCACTAAGAAATTCCTTCTAAACATTGAAGGTAAGTTGGTTTCTAGCAGATGTTTTTAGTTCATTTGGTGAGAGCACTTGATTTTCAGTTTCTTCTCAGTACTCCTAAATTATGGGCTTTACTGTAAAGGGAAACATTGTTCAATGTGTCGGTATATCACTGCAGTATCGTCTATAAGTAAGGTATTTTATGTAAATGAAAGACACTCGTATGTACATGTAATTCATTTACATACTCTCTGGTCTTCATGCACACTTGCTATTGAGAGTCGGTGTGACCCTCTACGACCATCATCTTTCTTTCCATTATAGCTACAGTTTTCTTTAGTCTCATATGTTATGCTATTTCGGCGCATTAAATATGACAAACGTGAAACAATCAAACCGTTCTTTTCAAAGTTTCTCAGTAATAACACTTCATACTAAGATACACAGCTAGTCTGTAGCTTTGGATCTGCAAAATGTCGTATTCTTGTCTGCCTCAGACCCATTTATTGACGTTCTTGTTGTTCATTTATTGATGCACTGTATGAGTGAGGGATTCTTTTCTGTGTCACGTAGGACCAGACGGAATACAAGAACAGCCAGTAAGCGCTTCCGAGGTGCAGGACGTAGAGTTACCATTGCCAATCGAGGAAAGACCTGTCCGAGATACAACCGCTCCAGTCTTCACAAAGAAATTGGAAGATCTTGTAGTTGACGCTGGAGAAGAAGCCCGTTTTGACGCTAGAATCTTTGCCATTCCAGAACCTCACGTTGAGTGGTACCAAGGGTCAAGGAAGATATTAGATGAAGGGCGGTTCGTACACGTAGATGCCATCGAGGAAGACCTGTTCACACTGATTATTGAGCAAACTGAAGCTGGAGATGCTGGTCCGTACAAGTGTGTTGCATCAAATGAAGTTGGCCAGACACCCTGTGAAGCACAGTTGACAGTGAAAGGAAAACAAGCAGCTCCAGAAGACGCAGAAGAATCGGAGACTTCAGTCCTTGATATAACCGAGGGAGGCGAAGTGGACTTAAATGTGGCGGTCTCGGGAACTTTCAAACCTACTGTGGAGTGGCTGAAGGATGGGAAGCCGGTACGAAAGACAAGTAGGCTTGACACAAAGACTAAAGGAGACACGTACACGCTGAATATCAAACATGCGGTACCGGAAGATTCTGGCATTTATACCTTCAAAGCCACGAGCCTAGCGGGAATATCAACAAAGTCTTTCGATGTCAACGTGAAAGGTAAGCTAAGTGCTGAATAAGATAATGAACATCCTACTTAAATCTCACCACTACGATAAAAGCTGAGAAAGTTGGAATTTTTCAGGATTTGACGAAAATTGTGAAATTGAAAGAACCAGGACTATAATACATCTCCTTCATTACCTGTTGCGAGTGAAATGAATATTAGCAACGTATGTTTCTGCATTAAACGTATGTTTAATGCAGCGTGGAAAATGAGAAAGCGAGTGAGTGCTTGGATGAAAGAGAAAGTGGTTTGAGTGAGTAACTGGAGTAGAAATCCAAGTACATTTTTACGATAATACTCTAGAAGGGAAATGTCTGCATTGTGGAATCTGTTGACCTCATCATCACTGATAGGACAATTAACGTGTTTTATTCAATATTAAGTAAACAAAGACTGTTGATTGCTGATGGTAAATGCTAAGTTGAAGAACGTCAAAAGGTGTACAGTCAGTGGAGGTGAAACGCTATGAATTTTTTTTTCGTATTTTTGGTACAGGAAAGACACAAGGTGAAGCCCCCAAGTTTACACAACCACTGGAGTCTGTTGAAGTAACAGAAGGAAATGGGGCAACGTTGGAGTGCAAGGTCGCGGGGACACCAGAGCCGAACATAGCTTGGTTTAAAGATGGTAAAAGCGTGGCAGAGGTGAAGAGATACAAAACTCGATTTGACGGAGAGCGGGCCACTTTAAAGATCACGACCACAGAACTAGATGATGAGGGTCAATACAAGTGTGTCGCTGAAAACATGTTTGGTTCAGCCTCTTGTTCGTCGGAGCTTCTTGTCAATGAAGCAAACGTAAAGCCTGCGTTTGAAGAGAAAATGAAGCCTGTTGATGTCACTGAGGGAGAACCTGCACAATTTTCTGTGAAAGTGACTGGCCACCCTTCACCTGTCATTGACTGGTACAGGGGCAAGGACAAATTGGAAGATCAAGGGCGTATTGAGATGGTTGATAATGAAGACAGTGGCACTTACTCACTGACAATCAACGACACGCTTCCAGAGGATGCAGGAGCTTACAAGTGCGTAGCTGAAAACGAGGAAGGTCAAGTGTCTTGCAAGGCTGCCTTGGCTGTCAGGGAGGTCATCACCGAACCTGTATTTGACACTGAACAAGAAGCGGCCCCCGTGAAGGTGGGAGAAGGTGATGTTGTCAGTCTCAATACTGTTGTGAAAGGGAAGCCAGAGCCTGCTGTCGATTGGTACAAGGATGAGGAGAAGCTACAGGAAACAAGTCGTTTGAAGATGGACGCCAAAGATGGGGAACACTCCCTCATTATATTGGAAGCCAAGCCTGAAGATTCCGGTGTTTACAAGTGTGAAGCAAAGAGCAAGGGTGGTAAAGCAGAAAAAACGTTTGATGTCGATGTTAAAGGTGCTTTATTTCATGCTAGATGTTTTAAAAATCTTTCGTCGTCCTTGAGAGTTTTGATTGCTCTGTTTCATTTTTAATGGACAATTGAAGTTAATGCATAAAGGTTCTTAAGAGGGTGGTATCTTACAGAATGTTTGTATTGAATTTTCCAGTTGCACTGTTGTTTCAACTGTGTTAATGAAACCAAAGTCCACTTTATCACAAAGTTACCCCGAACAATGACGAAAAATAATTTGAAACGTTTAGTACCTCATAATTGCTTTCAAGGGTCTTTGTCTCAACGGGACAGACTGAACAAAATGGGTAGAATAAAGTTAAAATTGTACTTACCAATTTATTCTAGCCTATTCTTTCCCCACCTCGAGAGCAGTTTCAGATTTGACCCCAAAAATTCCGTACAGGCGTCCAGATAATGCTTTCTGGTTGGTTGTTTTTCTGTTTTTTTTTTCTTTTAAAATTTTATTTAATTTTGCGCGCGGATTTGTAGAGCTATCAATATGGAATTTTTGGGTTTGAATCTCAGACTTCAATTTATTTGGGGAAGAATTGTTTTAATCAATCTTACCTGATACTTAATACACTTTAGCCAAGAAACCTGAAGGTACTGCACCAGTGTTCATAGAATCCCTGCAACCGGTGGAAGTAGTCCAAGGATCTCCTGCTAAGCTGCAGTGTAAAGTGACAGGTGTACCAGAACCAAGCATTGAGTGGTTTAGAGACAGCGAACCTGTGAAGGAAGACAAGAGAATAAAGATTCGTTTTGATGGCGAGTTGTGTACTTTGAAGATTCTCTCAACCGAGCTGGAAGACGAAGGTGCTTACAAGTGTGTTGCGAAGAACGACCTCGGATCAGTGTCTTGCGCTTCTGAACTCCTCGTTAACGAGCCAAACAAGAAACCAGAGTTCATCGAGAAGATGAAACCCGTGAATGTCACTGAGGGGGAACCAGCACGTTTCGACGTCACAATTGAAGGCAATCCAATTCCAGTGGTAGACTGGTTCAAAGGGAAGGACAAATTGGATGACGAAGGGCGTTATGTGATGATGGACGACGAAGAAGCGGGCATTTTTACGTTGATCATCGAGGACACTGTGCCTGAAGATGCTGGTACGTACAGATGCGTTGCTGCCAACGAGGAAGGACAGGCAAGTTCCAAGGCCGCTCTAGCAGTGAAAGAAAAGATGATTGCGCCGGAGTTTACAGACGAAGAGGAAAGTGCTCCCGTCAACGTCACAGATGGGGATGAGGTATGCTTGAGTGTGGGCATCAAAGGCAAGCCTGTGCCGGGTGTGGAGTGGTACAAAGATGACAAGAAACTGAGAAAAACCAGCAGAATAAAGATCGATGAAAACGGTGATAAGTTTTCCCTTGTGATTTTGGACGTTACCCCTGAAGATTCTGGGACATACAAATGTGAAGCCTCAAGCAAGGCCGGGACTATCACGCGTACATTTGATGTCAATGTAGCAGGTATGGTATTTCGCGATTTTCCGTTTTGAAACACAGTCGTAGGTTGCTTTTTGACAACTAAGTCGATTTTCATTTGTACAAGGACACAGTAAAGTGTTAGTCTGGGCAAAAACACTAGAAAAGATTTAAGAGCACTTTTAGATAGTCCAGACTGTACCTTTAAGTTTCTATCGAAACAGCCAATTTGGAACTTGACTGTTCTCTGATAAGAATGGAGAGAAGCATTCCAGTTATTAAAGAACTATACGAAGTTGGTTACGCAAATTATCAAGTTAACAATTTTGTTTCTTCGTGTTCTTATTTTTGGATCGCCTCCTATGCTACGCATTCTTCCACGGCATTGCAGAGATTAGATGTTGCTTATTGTTCTTTTGTTTTGTAGCAAAAAGTCCAGAAGGAAAGGCACCCGAGGTTATTAAACCTGCCGAGACAGTTGAAGTTGAAGAAGGTAAACCAGCCAGGATAGAATGCCAAATTAGCGGACAACCCAAGCCCACTGTTGAATGGTTCAAAGACAGCGAGAAGGTGAAGGAGTCCAAACGTGTTAAGCCTGAGAGCGACGATGAAACATTCTCCTTGAATTTTAAAGAAACTGAGCTTGATGATGAAGGTGACTACAAGTGTGTTGCACGTAACGAGTTTGGCAGTGTGTCGAGCCAGGCTGAATTGCTGGTGAACGAAGCTGGTGCTAAACCGGAGTTCAAGGAGAAAATGAAGAACGTGAGTGTCGAGGCGGGAAAGAAAGCCAGGTTTGATGTACTTGTCACTGGGTCGCCACCACCAGAAGTTGACTGGGTCAAAGGAGATGACAAATTGGAAGATGCAGGACGATTTGCGTTGTTAGACAATGAAGAGGAAGGAAGCTTCTCGTTGATTATCGAAGACGTTAAGCCCGAAGACAGGGGAAAGTACGAGTGCATTGCGTTCAATGAGCTGGCTGAAGTGTCCTGTAAGGCTAACCTGACTGTGGAAGAAACCCTTGTGGCTCCGGAGTTTGCCGAAGAAGCTGAGAGTGCACCAATACTTGCTGAAGAAGGAGGCGACATTGATTTAAATGTACTGTTGAAGAAAGGACAGCCAGAACCTCAAGTGGAATGGCTCAAAGACGACAAACCAGTACAAGTGGATGAGCATTTGGATGTTGGCATCAATGAGGACACACACTCACTGAAAATAAGAGGAGCTGTCCCCAGTGACTCTGGCTTGTACAAGTTCAAAGTCAGCAGCAAGGCAGGCTCTCTAGAGAGGGTGTTTGATGTGCAGATTGCAGGTATTCTCCGTCATCTAATTTTAGTAACGTCAGTAGTTATTCCAGTGGTCTGCCTTTATGATTTCGTGTTCCAATCTTGAAAATTGAATACTTGACAGGTTAATGAAGGGAATGGGAAGAGTATCATCAAGATATCACAAACACATTTAATTATAATCATACTTGAGTGGCAATGGTACATGTCTCACTGAGTTTAATAAGAGCTGTCTTTGTTAAGAATTCGTTACTATTGTCTGCTTTTATCCTTACAGCTAAGCAGCCAGAGGGCACTGCTCCACAATTCAGAGAACCTCTGCAGCCAATGGAAGTGAAGGAAGGTACTGCAGCCAAACTTCAATGTACAGTCACAGCTGAGCCAGCGCCAAAGCTTGAGTGGTTTAAAGATGGAGTGAGAGTGAAGGAGAGCAGAAGAGTCAAGGTTGAAAGTGATGGAGTTACAGCTTCCATATCTTTTAAAGAAACAAGGCCAGATGATAAAGGAGAGTACAAGTGTGTGGCCAGTAATGATCTCGGTTCTGCCTCGTGCACTGCTAGTTTGAAAGTATTGGTCGTAACTAAGCCAGAATTCAAAGAGAAAATGAAAGGGGTTGAAGTGATGGAGGATGACACTGCTACCTTTAATGTGCTTGTCGTTGGCTATCCTGATCCTAGTGTAGAATGGTTTAGAGGAACAACCAAACTAACTAATGATGAACGGATTGAGATCAAAGAAGACAAAGAGAATGATCGTTTCTCTCTAGCGATTGGCGATGTGAAACGAGAAGATGCTGGAATGTATAAATGCGTGGCTGCGAATGAAGCTGGCAAGACTACAATCCGAGCTGACCTTGCCGTAAAAGAAAGGCTGTTTGCTCCTGAGTTTGCTGAAGCCCAGGCTGAAGCCCCCATTGCAGTGACTGAAGGAGATGAAGTAAACCTGAGTGTAACGATCAATGGAAAACCCAAACCTGATGTCAAATGGTACAAGGATGACAAACCCCTTCGTGAGAGCAACAGACTTGACATCAAGGCTCGTGGAGACAAACATTCTGTGGTGATTCTTGGCATCAAGGCTGAAGACGCCGGAGTGTACAAGTGTGAAGCTAAAAGCAAGATGGGCACTGTTACCAGGACATTTGATGTCAAAGTACAAGGTATGTGCTTTTAATTACCATATGGGATCAATGTGCGACTTTCTTCTTTGTTCTTGAAACATTAGCAATTCTCATTATCAACATTAAGAGAAGTGTATTGCAGTCACTGAGGAGAATGTGTACGTTGAACTATGAGACCCGAAATCAGATACAAATTATGATTGTCGATTGTTTGAAGGAAGTCTGTACAGGTTAGTGGGTTGTACACGAGGCCTGGGTGAGCTGCAGTTCGCGTAAGCTGCAATGCGAATCGGTGTACCTATTTTTTTCAAGCTATTTTAATTTTAGTGCGAAGTCCGAGGGATGGAGTACTATTAAGGTTAGAATATCTAGAAAGGTACTCCAAGTAAGAAAATGCAAGTTCCTGATCAAAAACGTGCGCTTCAGATGTCTGTTGGACACAATATGACGCTACAAATTGTTAACTTTTTTGTTACTGTGTTAACTTCGTGTAAGGGTAGGTTAGGGAGCATATGAACTCCCTCGCTGGCTAGGTGAGGCAAGTGGCCTTTTGAAAATGTCGTTTGAAAATACCTCTTCCCCTCTCCCCAGAGAATTTTATTATTTTAAGAACTTGAACAATTTTTCTTATAACATGTACTCATTTTTTTTTTTCCTGAAGTGCTGAACTAATTGTTAAGATAAAAGAAATACAAGATGATGGTGCTGTTTTCTTAACATTCTGTCTTCACAGCAAAGAAACCCACAGGAACAGCACCAGAAATCACCAAACCTCTGGAAAACATCACAGTAGTGGAAGGTGAACCAGCGAGCTTAGAGTGTGAGCTGAAGGGAGAACCACAACCAGATATTGAATGGTTCAGAGATGACGAGAAGGTGAAGGAATCTAAACGCGTCAGGATGAACTTCGACGGCAAGTCTTCTTCTTTGACGTTCAAACCAAGCGAGCTTGATGATGAGGGTGAGTATACGTGTGTTGCTCGTAATGAACTTGGCAGTGCGTCGACTACAGCTGAGCTGCTTGTCAACGAAGCGGGAACCAAACCGGAATTCACAGAGAAACTTAAGAACATCAGTGCTTTGCCTGGAGAAGAAGCGAGGTTTGATGTCCGCGTGACTGGTTCGCCTCCACCAGAAGTCGACTGGCTCAAGGGTAAGGAGAAAATCGAAGACGAGGGCCGCTTTGTTTTGATTGATGATATAGAGGATGACCTGTTTTCGCTAGTTATCGAAGATGCCAAACCATCTGACAATGGAGAGTATGAGTGCATTGCTTTCAATGAATTTGGTGAAGTTTCATGCAAGGGAAACTTAGTTGTTGAAGAAACAATTATCGCGCCCGAGATTGCTGAGGACGCTGAAAGTGCACTGCCTCTATTTGAGGACATCACCATTGCACCAGAGTTTGCTGAGGAGGAGGAGAGTGCACCTGTAGTCATAGAGGAAGGCGGAGATGTTACTCTATGTGTGAACGTCAAGGGACAGCCAACACCAGAGGTAGAATGGTCCAAGGATGGAAAGGACCTCAAGGCCAGTGGTCGCTTGGAAGTTGGTGAGATGAATGGTAAACACACGCTTTTAATTAAGGGTGCTACCCCTGAAGACTCCGGTATTTTCAAGTGTCAGGCTAGCAGTAAAGGAGGTGTTGCAGAAAGAACCTTCGATGTGCAAGTGAAAGGTAAAGATACTTGTGAGAATAGCTTGAAGGGTCTATGATTGTTGTTAGGCCTTTCTTGCGTTGTACAGGAGCTTTTCAAGTACGTTAACATTAACATTTGAAGTTTCGTTTATTTTTGCTTGTCTCGTGCCAAACGGAATCTATAGATACATTTACTGTTGCATCATTCTTGCAGGAAATGAATGAACAGAACCTTGTATTCACGCTCAGAATATTTTGATAATGTCACTTTTATTTATCAGTGCCGTTTTCTGCTTTTCTTGCTCTCGAGTTGCGTTGTGTTACCTTGATTTCTTCATTTTGTTTTTGTGACGATACAACAAGATTATTTCCTGTCATTTGTCTGTCAGCTTCTCATGTTTTTCTTGATTGCCAATTGCAGCTAAGAAACCAGACGGAACAGCACCAGTGTTTTCTGAACCTCTTCAACCTGTGGAGGTGAAAGAAGGCAGCGAAGCCAAACTACAGTGCACTGTCGTAGCCGAACCTAAGCCTGACATCGAGTGGTTCAAGAAGGGAGTGCGCATAAAAGAGAACCGACGAGTGAAACTTGAAAGTGACGGTCAAACAGTTTCATTGACAATCAAAGAAACAAGATCAGGCGATGACGGAGAGTACAAGTGTGTGGCTACTAATGAGTTAGGTTCAGCTTCCTGTGCTGCTTCCATGACGATCAGGGTCGTAACTAAGCCAGACTTCAAGGATAAACTCAAGACAGTCGAGGTAATGGAGGGCGACACTGTTCAGTTTGATACTCGGGTTGTTGGGTACCCTGTGCCCGAGGTGGAGTGGTTAAGAGGAACAACCAAGCTGAAGAGCGATGAACGAACTGAGTTCAAAGAGAACCAAAAGGACAACCTACATTCGCTTGTATTAAGTGACGCTAAGCGGGAAGATGCTGGGATTTACAAGTGTGTGGCGTCAAATGAAGGAGGTAAGGAACAAGGCATTTCTTAAAACACGTTGTAGGGTTGAGTTTGATTACTGAAACACTGTCTGTCGTAGGGTTGGTTAAAACCGTTTGCTTGTCTCATGATGGCAACTTACTAAGTTGTTGGTAATTTAAAGAAATTCTCGCAGGGGACTGAAAGCGCTGAAGGATATTCTGAACTTCATGACTAATTTCTTGAAGTTTGTCTTTCGTAATGCATATCAGTCTTCCCCAATCTTAATCATCCTTGTAGTTATGTTTATTATGTTGGCAAAGGAGCGATGTCACGGATAGTGCATTCTAAACTTTCCAGGTTTCTCGTTCGCAATCCGTCTCAGTCTTTCCCAGTGTTTACCATCCTTGTTACTTACATATAGGGGATGTTGACATAATTATGTCAACTACATTTATTATGTTGGCAAAGGAACCATGTCACGGATGGTTCATACTAATCTTTTCAGGTTTATCGTTTATAATCCGTCTCAATCTTCTTCAGTCTTGACCATCCTTGTTCCTTTGGATTTCGTAGTACTGTTCCTTTGACGTTTGGTTAGTTAAAGTGAATTAACACTAAGGGGTCCGTTTTAGTCACCTATTGGCTTGATACTTAAAATAATACCGTTAATTATCGTTAACCTTTTGACCAGGTAAGACCACATGCCGAGCCGACCTCATCGTGAAGGAGAGGCTGTTTGCTCCTGAAATATCTGAAGATCAGTTAGATGCCCCCATAACAGTGACCGAAGGTGGAGAGGTGAGCTTGGATGTAACAATCAATGGAAAACCCAAGCCTGATGTCAAATGGTACAAGGATGACAAACCCCTTCGTGAAAGCAACAGACTTGACATCAAGGCTCGTGGAGACAAACATTCTGTGGTGATTCTTGGCGTGAAGGCTGAAGACTCCGGAGTGTATAAGTGTGAAGCTAAAAGCAAGATGGGCACTGTTACCAGGACATTTGATGTCAGAGTTCAAGGTATGATTTAAATAGTAATTATCTATGTCTTGCGCCATTGTTTAGAGGTTAAAACGGCTCTAAAATAATTCTGCAAAGGGGTTTTTTAGATAAAAGAAAATTTTCATTTCAATTGGGGAATTCTTGGTAGTAGCCGACGGGGGATCTGGAATAAGATGTTAGTGATGAAATCTGAGAGTTGTAGATGCCTTTCCTTGCATTTTTCTACGTTTACCACGACCGTTAATAAGTTGATATTTAAAGACGGTTGTGAAATCTTGCTGTCTGCTTATCAATACATCAGATATGGTCAAAAACATACTTTGGTAGATTTTATGAGCGCACAGACTATGATATTTGTTGAACACCACTGACAGGAATTCTTTGACCATGGATTCCCGAAGAATCATTGTTTTACTTGTTGTGATTCCACCCTTTTAAAAATGACGGGACTTTCCATGAATTCCCTTCTGATGTCGATTATCACATTTTTCGGTCTTTCCTCAGCTGAGAAACCAACAGGAACTGCACCACAGTTTATTCAGCCCTTAGAATCAGTGGAGGTATCTGAAGGAGCAGCAGTTAAGCTGGCATGCACAGTGAAAGGAACCCCGCAACCAACCATCGAATGGTTCAAAGATGGCAAACTCCTTAAAACTAGCAAACGGATGAAAGGCGACTTCGATGGGAAAGTTGCTTCTCTGTCCTTCACCGAGGTAGATTTGGACGATGAAGGAGATTATAAGTGCGTTGCTCAGAATGAGCTGGGATCAGCGTCTTGCACGGCGGAGCTTCTCGTTAACGAGCCTGCTACTAAACCAGAGTTTACCGAAGCGATGAAAGACATTGAGGTGGCTGAAGACGAAGAGGGAAGGTTTGATGTGCGTGTGTCAGGCAGTCCTAGTCCAACCCTGCAGTGGTTCAAAGGAACTAAGAAAATCGAGGACGCTGGAAAGTTTCTTTTGATTGACGATGAAGAAGATGACCTCTTCTCACTTGTTATCGACAAAGTGGCTCCAGACGATGTTGGTACATACACCTGCAAAGCCAATAACGAAGCTGGAGAAGTGTCCTGCAAAGCGGAGCTTAAACTACAAGAGGAAATGGCAGCTCCTGAGTTTGGTGATGAGGGGGAGACAGGCCCCATCACTGCTGTCGAAGGTGGCGAGGTGACGCTTAATGTGACAGTGAAGGGAAAACCACGCCCAGATGTTGAATGGTTCAAGGATGACAAGCCCCTGAGGAAGACAAGTCGTGTCGACATCAAGTCACGAGGGGATAAGTTTTCCGCTGTTCTCATGAATGTCACTCCAGATGATTCTGGCTTGTACAAGTGCGTGGCCAGCAGCAAGGCAGGAAGTGTTACAAGGACATTTGAAGTCAACATCGAAGGTATGTTTGCAATGTGCTTCACCGTAGTCACGCGATCAAGTTTATCTTCTGTTTAGCCGGCTTCCTTTTGGAATGGACGAAGCATGGGAGTAGCGTAAATAAGGAAAAAGAGGTGGCAGTCATAGTCACATCAATCTGTATTAATTGGGTTATGTCACGCTGCTAAGGAGTACCTTTACCGATGTCAATTCTTGGAGATCTTAACCAAGATCATTAACCCTCTTTAATAGAACAGTTGGTCCGTAAATGTACATAGGGCACACATTATCGTATTATAGATAGCGCGTGCTAGGTGTAATTAGAAAAAGAAACCTGAAGACTTAATTAGGAAGATATATAACACTGACAGAATAATTGTTGTGAAATCATTTAGTTTGGCATACAGCGGTTTTCAATTGAGTGTCGTAAAACGAAAACCAAAGTAATCACTCTAGCCAATCACAAAGGACACAGACGATGCAGTGAACCAATCAAAACACGAAGTAATTACTTGTAACTGACGCGAGCGAACAAGTCACGATTGGTTTTGGTTTTACTTCTGATTGGATGAAAAAGTGGCGCGAGTTTTTTAAGCAAATCGTGTAGCCAAGTGACGTAAGACCAATTACTTTTCGATACTCAAGTGAAAACCGCTCGAAATGCACTAGTAGTGCAAGTACTAGTAACAACGTTGCAGGGCTTCTGAGATCTACAGTTTTCACCATGCTAGCATCTGTCTGTTAGGACTCTAATACAATTTACCTAATTTTCTTTCAGGCAAAAAGGCAAAGAAACCAAAGGGAGTAGCCCCACAGTTTACGCAGCCGTTAAAGGCAATAGAGGTTGTGGAGGGTAACCCTGTGAGATTAAAATGTCGCATGACAGGCACGCCCGAACCAACAGCAGAATGGTTTAAAAACGGAACACCAGTTCAGCTTAGTCGAAGGATCAAAGCTGATATCATAGGCGACATGTGCCAGCTGTCATTCACTGAAACGAACACAGATGACAGTGGAGACTACAAATGTGTGGTTAAAAACGATCTCGGATCAGCGTCTACTGAAGGAGAACTTCTCGTAACTAAACCCATTGTGGCGCCCGAATTTAACGAAAAACTGAAAAGTATGCAAGTCAGCGAAGGCGAGCCAGCTCAGTTTGATGTGCGAGTCTCTGGAAATCCCGAGCCAAACATCGCATGGTTCCGTGGAACTCAAGCAATCAAAAACGAAGGAAGATTTACGGTTAAAACTGGGGAAGGAGATGAACAACACTCTTTGATTATCGATGAAACAACTTTA